GTCAATTTAAAATTAAAAATAAAACTCCAGACCTTCCTGAAATTTGACTGAGTAACAGAATAAAATACAGAGCAAGAGCTCTCAGGTTTTTATGCCACAGGGATACCTCAGTCAGCAGAGCATGACTCTCTTAATCTCAGGGTTGTGAGTTCGAACCCCACATTGGACAAAAGATTCCTGCACTGCAGGGGGTTGGACTAGATGACCCTGGTGATCTCTTCCAACTCTACAATTCTATGATTCTTTGATTTCAGTGTTGGCTCCTTGAAAGCTGGTGGCAGTGAGAATTTCTTGCCCAGGGCCCTCTCAAAACACAGCACTGAATAATGGGGTCAATGGAAAAGGGTCTTGAAGAATAGCAAGATAATGAAACAAGGCCAACAGAGTGCTTTTAATTGGCCATGCAATAGTCATTAAGCTTGCAGTCGCCTTTTCAAAGTTGCCACTGAAGATTGCATAATAGAGCTAGCATTAGTCATCCAGTTCTTCGTCTTGCTTTTTGAAAAATAAAGGAAGAAAAGATGCATTTTATATTTACTGCAATATTTAGCACATTAAGTGCTACAATTACAATTGCATTTGTATTTGACAGTAAATGCTACTTTAAAATAGTGTTACAGAAATTATTTAGTACAGTGTGTTGATGTGACAGTTTTTAATGTCCTCCATTAAATCATTGTTTTACATTTTTCTTTCAGAGTGCATTTTCAGGGGTGGGGGGAATAGAAAGCCAGAAAATTATTTCAGGTACATTTAGGAAGGCAAAATTAGAGGATAGTGCATGCTCATACACAGTATGCAGAGAGAAGTGACAGGGGGCTCATCCATATACTCTTTTTGCCCTGTGCTTTCTAGGCCCAGATCTACACTTTAAAGCTCCATGTCCAAGCACTTTTTTTCGCCCTGCTGTCCCCCCCCCCCCCCCGGGAAACCCACTCTTTAACACTGAATTGGTATGAAGAGCAATTAGGATTTTCTGCAGTTTGCTCTGATTCACCACTAAAGAGCAGGATATGGAGCTTTAAAGCACAGACCCCCGTTTCTAGAAAGCACAGGACAAAAGGTGAGTGTGGATGAGCCCTTACACAAATGCCCTTGCATTCTGTGTCACTGGGCCAATTCACTGCTGGAACAAGCATCAAGATGGCATGCTTCCTCCTCGCACTCCTTATGCCACTCACACTCATACTACCTTCTCAATCTAAACACTCAGTTACTCCTCCTCTCTCACCTCATAATTTACCTTTTCATCCAGGCAAAAAAACCAAACCCTGATTTGCAGATGCCCTCCAAACAGCCTGCAAACTAGCTTCACACGGTTTGAGCTAAAGTTGAGCGTACACAGGAAGGAAAGAATACATGAGCACACGACTCGTTCACACAGTGCCAACCTGTAGTTTGTCATTACAGCTGAATCAAGTGGCAGTGTCTGGACCTCTGCTTTCCCAGCTTCATTCTGAGAACTGTAAGAAAAGCAGGGAATTGACTCAAGCCAAGTAAAACCAAAGAAAAAAACCCCCGCTATGGAACAACACAGAAAACAGCTCCCCAACAATCACACAGTTAAGCTGTGGCTGGGGTCAGCCTGACCTAAGTGGCAACAGCAGTTGCTCAAGAATGGGGATAAGACCCGGCAGCTTAAAAAAGAAAGCGATGTAAATCCTCATCTCCCAAGAACGGGTAAGCAGAGCATTCACTCTCATTAGGATATTTCTTCTTTAAATAAACCCTATGAATAAGTGCTAGAAACCCAGCACTTTATATATATATAAAAAAACCTTTTGCTTTAGCTTTCCATTCCAGCTCATTCTTTGTGATGAAGAGGTCCGAGCATTACTCTGAGTGGGAAAAGATCAGGCTGCTGGATAGGGACAAGAAAGGGAATGTGGTTTCCTGAAAAGTTTCCAGAAACGACATGGGAAAATAACTCTTGAAAGAGATGTGGAACTGGAAACACTTCCTTTTGGAGCAGCATTTCCACAGTGTTGTTTTGTTGGGCCAAAAGTAATAACAGTTCTGCTATTATTGTTGCGAATAGACTGAGCACGGAGGGGGAAGAAGTAATTCATGCAACAAGCAGCTATAATTTCTGGGGCTACAGGCCATGTCTACAATGCTGAGGCATAGTATTCATGTGGTTTCTTTAACCTGCAACTCTGCATTTAAAAAAAGATGGGGGGGCGGTTTCTTCACATCCCACCAAAAGCTGTCAGAAGCTGTGTTTCCAGGAATGCTTTGGGCAGCAAGAATCTTAGCATAAAAACATGTCCTCGTTCTTTTGTTTTTATGTCTACATATCTCCCATTTTCAGACTTGTATGGAGCACGTTGACTCAGTTTTTTCTGCACTGTTCCCTTTAATGCAGCAACAGCCTACTGTGAGCCAGTTACCATGCAATCTTGTACGTTGAGTTCAATGGGATTTACTCCCATGAAAGCAAAGAAATGCTTGCAGCCTTAGCTGAGGAATCTATGAGGCCTAAAAACATACCAGTAACATGAACTGGTTGCTGTTATAGCTTCCACAGGAGATTCTTAAGAATCTGTTTTCTCTTCTAAACAAGACCAGAGTTTTACAGCAATCATGGCTGCAGAGAACTGGGAAATGAGTGGTGTATTTTTGGAAAGCACAAAAGGCTCTGGGGAATCCTGGGATGAGAGGAAGGAACTTCCAGCACAGTTCACACACACACACACACACACACACACACACCCTTCTGTACCCAATCTCTGACATAAACAAGGAAAACACTGAAAGTAGATCAGCTGCAGTGCATGCAAAACTAACATATTTATTGTGGCATAAGCTTCCAGGGACTCAAGCAAAGCTTATGCCAGAATAAATTTGTTTGTCTTTAAGGTGCCACAAGACACTGTTGATTTTGCTGCAACAGACTAACACAGCTACTCCTCTGGAAGTACACGAAAGGTAAATATTATGGTTATCAGCCTAATAAACTGCTCAGTTTCACTGATTCCTATCAGTCTATTCCCAGAACAGGGGAAAGCTGAGTTCTCCAGATGTCCCTATCATTTGAAGCTGGTCTGTGCTACCAGCACATTGGTGGCACCCAGGCTATGGAATTCCCTCTTCCAACATGTGCACTTGATGTATTATTTACGATCATGTACACACCAGGTGAAGTCTACCATGTTCTTTCATGCTTATTAATATTTGAGACATCTTTTAATTGCTTTTAGTCGGTGAGGGGCTGAGACATTCATGCCCATTAGAGCAACTGCCTGCATGCTGAGTAGCAACTCTGTCCATCTGCAGTCCCAAGGAGTGTGGCCCAGCAAGCCAGAAGCCTTGGGCAGAGTCAAAGGGCATTGCCAGTTTGGTGCCCATTTGAGGAAAACACAGCAGTTTTGGGATTCCCTCTTAGAAGAACAAACTTAGTAGAACTGTCCTGCAAATTTACCATCAATTAAACCATATAAAAGATAAGCTTGAGAGTTTGGTTGTTTGGCCAAAACCATCTGAAGAAATCACAGAAACAAGTGCATCAATATGATAAATGAAAATCATTTGGGATGGAAGGGAGAACTGAAAATATAAAAAGATCAGTCTATGAAGCTGTATGAATTTGGAAAACCTAAACAGCTGGGTCAGTTAACTAAAAGTGCCTTGAGTGGTTTAGTATTGCAGCCTTCTAAATGGGATTTGGCCTTTCTTCCTTACAAGAGGAATGTCCCTTACTGGGACTCAAGGAAGCTGGCAATTGACTATGTAAGCTACCTTCTTGGGATACCCAAAAGTAGAACAGATCTCGCTGAAAGGAGTTTGCAGGGTAGAGCTTGGGTAAAGAGATCCTATTTAACTTTTCAAAACAACAAAGCTTCCAGCTTTAATCCCTGGAAAAAAACATGTATTATGTAAATATGGGTGGTTCCATCTCAAGTATTTTACGGCAATATAAAGAAACCTTTGTTAAATGTTGGGAAGTGCACTCCTTTTGGGAGCCAGCATTCAGAAAGCCAGAGTTAAACCACCTGTACAGGAAGAGCGTGATCCTCCAGAGGATGTAATCAACTGGGATATTCCAGCTGTTGTTACACCAATTTGGTGCTCTTTAAAGCCCATTGTAATGTCCATTTTACAACGTGATAAGGCTGTCGGTTAAATCACAAAGCCTAGGACTTGCCGATCAGAAGGTTGGCGGTTCGAATCCCCACAATGGGGTGAGCTCCCGTTGCTCGGCCCCTGCTCCTGCCAACTTAGCAGTTCGAAAGCACGTCAAAGTACAAGTAGATAAATAGGTACTGCTCCGGCGGGAAGGTAAACGGCGTTTCCGTGCACTGCTCTGGTTCGCCAGAAGCGGCTTAGTCATGCTGGCCACATGACTCAGAAGCTGTACGCCAGCGGTCCCCTTACCTTTGCCTAAGGCTGAAAAGCATACCACTTCACTTACTGGTTATCCTATAGAAACTCTGGAGGAAGAGCTTTTAATTTCTTACTTGGACCTTCCATACAATGAGCAAAGGGCTATTTTGTATGGATTATTTGGTTAGATCCTGCTGCTGGGCTTTCCATGGGTGTATGGTTGGCCACTGTGATAACAGGACACTGTACTAGATATGCTGCTGGCCTGATCCAGTAGCATTATTCTTATATTCTTACGTCTGCTCAGAAGAAAGCCCCACTGGGTTCAATGAGACTTACGCCCAAGTTAGTGTATATAGAATACAGACTATTATGTGCTTTGTGGAGTACAACTCTAAGGTTCCCATGCTCTGCTGTCTCCTCTCCATTTGGCTTTTCTCACAATGATTTACAACAGGAGAAATTACCTCACGCTAGCATGCAATCAAAGAATTTAGGAGATAGGGACAGAGTTTAAAACAACAGCCAATATACTCTGTGCCAATGATATTGTCTATCTTTCTTTCTTTCTTTCTTTCTTTCTTTCTTTCTCTCTCTCTTTCTTTCTCTCTCTCTTTCTCTCTCTCTTTCTTTCTCTCTTCCTTCCTTCCTTCCTTCCTTCCTTCCTTCCTTCCTTCCTTGTTTTTAAAGTATTTTAATTCATAACTCTAAAACTTGCTGTTAATTTCATGATTCTTATTATTTTTGTGTGTGAACAGAGTTTGTCTTTGCCTTTCTACTATTATACTGACCTTTGGGGAGGCTTTGTGAGTGGTCTCCCATGGCTCAGATGCATGGCTCATGTCCACCAGAAGCATTCAGCATTGCAGGTCTAATTCTGTAGAACGTCTGTGAGCCAAATGTCCAGTGGGGGGCGGGGAGATTCCAAGGGCTCCAAAATGGCACATGGGATCTCTTGCTGCTGCCATGCTACCCAACTCAACAGCTGTTGGGTGGGAAGTTGTATGTATTGCAGCAGGCTCCCAACTTAACACACATTTCTCTTCTGCTCACAGGGGCCTGGAATGTAAGCCCCACATAAGTGGAGAGTTGCCTGTATTCTAGAACATGGCTTTAGAGGGGCACATGTAAAGATAAATAGTGTTACAAAGGTTTCGTGCCATCCCCAATCTCTGCCAAGTGGTAGCAAGATTCCAGGCGCTTACCCAGGGTTGTGTTTCTGTAGGAAATCAAGACGCAGCGCAGACTGTTGTATCTAAGAAATATAGCTTATCCTACATGTATTTACACTGGAAGCTTTCAGTGGATGGAGTGCAGAGTTTACGGCATTCACATCTCAAGAGGGGCTTGTTCCCCTCAGGAGTACAGCATCCGATTCCCAGACATTTCTGTGTCTCTGTCCCAGCCTGCCTGCCAGCCCGTCTGGATGGTTCTGCCCTTCAGCCCCTGCATCAAGTTACACCAACTTCCTCCTTCTTGTTCCCAGAAAACCCCTTGCCAAACAACTCCTCCCCTTCTGTCTGCTATCCCAAGCCTAGTATTAAAAGGTGACAATTTTTCTGCAACCTACATCATCGCTCAGGATAACCTTGGCAACCGACTGTTGCCAAGGGACCCAAGGACTTCTCTGTGATGAGCCATCAACACCTTTTGTCATGCTTAATGGCCTCAATCCCAAGTGCCGCCCTGGTCTGAAAAGGAAACTTAGCCTGTACTTTTTTCCACTGGTCTGGCATCTTCCCTTTAATACTCCAAATGTCATCAAAATTCTGCCATTTTACTAATTTCTAACGTTCACTAACTCTAGATTTGCAACAACAGAGTGGGTGCTGGAAAACACTGCATTCTGAAAAACTTTGATGAAACAATAAATAATTCAATAGGATCAGGGTGCCAGTTATGTTTTATCCAGTGAGTTCTCTGCTCTGTCAGAACTGTGGCAAAGAATAGCAGTGTTTTCAGGTCCATTTGAAAGAAGAGTTACCATTTTTACAATAACTATTCACCCTCTTCTACAGCCCCCCAAATAGGAGATGGTGGCAAGGCACCTGATTGGTTGTCTCTTCCATTATTCAGTAAAAGGTCCTCTTTCCATACAGCAATGAAAGCAGCAATAAAAGATTTAAGGGACAGATTGGCATGAAATTGACATCCTGAATGGTCAGTCAGATTTAGAAGACTTGGCTGCTATTCCACAGAATCAGGCAGAACCAAATGCTGTTAGCCATAAATAGCCAAATGCCACTCATACCTCTTCTCCCTAGTTTGCATAACCATTGTAGTTCTGATCATATCTTTAACCATGCTTTAAAAAGTAATCTAAGAGACCAGTTCATACACTGGCTGGAGGAAAGAAACCCTTGGAATGTCACTCTTCAATAATTGCTAAAATGCATATTGAAGCAGCTGACTGGTGGCTAACTATAGCTGCTGTAAAATTAACATAACAGACTTTGATCTTTTCTTTACATCTTTTCAAATTCAAAGTGTTGCCCATAACCCTGCTTTAGTCTAACGCTGCAACACCTTCTTTCTAAGTTAAGCACAGCCAGTCATACACAGTCAGAGCTCAAGGAGGAATCAAAATGAAAAAGTCACAGTTAGGTGTGAAGTGGCTTTTCCACTTAAATAACTGGAGCCCAGATTAAACACATTTATTTGGAGGTGAAAAAATACCTTCAGAGTTCTTTGGAAACTTATTTCCAATAAAATGAGAGCTTCATCCTCAGACTGCTTGCTCTGGAGTAATCTCATTAATCACATCTCGGTTCAAATTGGCAAAGAGAGTCATGGTTGCTATGTGAAAAGTCTATCCAAAGCAGTTTGCAACAATAAAAGCTGCATTTATATTACAAAATAGTACAAAACACACACAAAATAATAAAACCCATTCAAATCCTTTATACCATAATCCACTCTAGCAAATAGATGGCGCCTACTCAAGGAAAGGCCAATCAAAACCAGAACATCTTTGGAGCTTTTCAAAAATCCTGAAGAGTAACAGATTGCTACTGGAACAGACTTCCAAAGCCATGGGACTACCACAGAGAAGGCCCTGTCTCTGGTGGTCACTAATCTAGGCAAAATACACTAGAGATGGAGGAGAAATTCAACTCAGTTTGCATTTATAGCTGAACCTACCTAATTCATACTTTTTGAAACAGTTTGTAAACCAAAACACAAACATCCTTCAAAATGTACACTTCCTTGCATCTAACAGTGCAATTCTCTGGCCAAGTAATGTATACAAAAAATGCACATACTAGGATAAAGTGTGCATAAACCACATATATTAGTGAAAATGGCATGCTTGAGAAAGCATTATATAATGGGAAATCACTTTGCAAAAAATGTGTGCCAAGTTTCATAAAAGACTCTCTAGTTGGAGAAATTCACACTAATAAACATTATTTGGCCGAAAGACAATTTTAACCATTATTTGGTGCAATTCAGCCAATTGATTTCAGAGTGCAACTGATTTCAGAAGAGAGAGGTAAGAAATCTTAGCTGGAAATCAACATGTTTTCAACAGCACCTGACTTAGCTGAATCATGCCTCATACCTGTTTGGGCTCAGTTGTTTGAACAAGTATATAAATCTTCAAATACCTTTGGGAGTCCCCATCCCCTATCCTTCTACCACCAATGCTCATGAAAATCACAGTGCTTAAGCTCGCCTTAATCCTTCAAGGCATTCTTTGCAGATGGTGAGAACTGCCTTCAGATGCACCTGTTATACTTCGAACAGCACAATGCCATAGAGTCTAAATCTAATGAGTCATTCTGCACAACCAGATGAATTTACAGTAATAACTGCTTGCAATTTTGCTGATTATTCCAGGGTGTAGAAAAAGCCTGTGTGGGATCGCTTCAGCATAGGGATCAGCCAGAACAATAATTTAGCTTGCAACTCCTGCCAAGGAATGATGCCAGTTTTTACCTGTTGGGAAACTGACACGGACATGATGGAAATCAACTTGTCTTTGCATGTCAGGTACAATAGTGTGTGAGCAGGTGTTTTCGAACTATAGCTGGCTTAGATTTAAATAAGTAATTCCTGGTACCCAGAAAATACATTGCAGTTTATTGGGGTGTCCTAAATGCACAATAATGGCAGACAGGCAGCACTGAAAAACCATTAGTTTAAGTTTGCACATTTTTCTTAGGCCAGCTAAATATTCTCTCATGTTTTCTGCACTTAGCATCACTCCAAGCCAGGGAAGAGGAAACACTTGCTTAATCAGGTCTTTTTGTGGTTTCCTCTACCTAGAGCATCTAGATTAATTCATTAGCAATGAAAACGAACCCCAGTAGCAATAATGAACAACTAATACTTAAAGAGACCTGCTACAAGTAAATTTCAGCATTAGACAGAACTAAATCCTGCTAGATGGGGGGGGGGAGGAGAAATAGATGCAATACATACATGAATGAAAATATCACGTTTTTGCTCTCAAAATGTTACATTGTTATATAGTTAACATTATGACCAGAAGTCAGAAAGATCACGTGTTATTTTTACATTTCTTCCTTCTGCACACATAGTGAATATATGATCTCCAATACCAGTGGTGACCAGAAATGTAATTATGTTACCCAGCAGGGAAAGCTTTGTCATAACAGCTGGAAGAAATAAAGAAAGACACTAACATTTGAGAATGGTGCCAGCATGTGGAGATACAGGGACCTGGGGTGGAATGGGGATGGGGTTGCTACAAATATTTGCTCACCTGTCTGCAGAACTGGCAAGGTTACAGGCAACACATAATGTAATGCCCATTCCATGCTCTTAAGACATTGATCTTTTAGTGTGCACACTCCCTTTGGAACTCCCTGCTTATTGACATCAGACAAGTGGCTTTGCTGTACTATTCTAAGCACTTGCTAAAAACATTTTTGTTTAGGCAAACCTATTCAAACATATAGAAGCTGTCATTTGTTTTAATTTGGTTTTAGCTTATTGTTAATTTTATTGATTGATTGAAAAAAAAACCCAGAAAAAAACCAGAAAAGAGATTTCCACTGGACGCCATTTTAGGCATCCAGTTTCCTTACATGTCCAGAAATTTCCAGATGTATGGCAAGCCTATTGATGTCATTTAATTTTTATATCACTTATATGTCAAAATAGTTTCTTAGTGGTTTACAACTAAAAAAACCCCACAGTTAAAATACACAATGACATTAAAACATCCTGAATTAAAACATACAATTAAGCAAACAATTAAAAATGAGTCTATATCTATCAAAAGTTAGTTTCAACAACTCAGTCTGTCAAAAAGATCTGAGAAGCACCTGTATTTTCATTGGCAGGTGCCTGACACGATGTGCTCCAAAATTGTCATAGGCTAGGAAATTAAACCTGACTGTAACATCGATGTCTGTAACCATCCAGAAATGACTCAACCTTTTGTCTCTTAAAGTTTTCTTCAGGACCGAACAAGCATAGTCAGCATCAACACCAATAGTTTATTTCATATTGCAGTAACTGGTATGTGTCTTCTTTAACCAATATTGCTAAAGTATATAATGAAGTATATACTTTAGTATATAATGTATATACTGAAGTATATAATGAAGTATATAAGTATATAATGAAGATAATCTTCCAAACTAAAAAAAAAAAAAGAAAAGAAATCTGTAGGGGGGACACTAAACTTTACTAGGGAAATCTATCCTTGTTGAATCAACCACACCATGCAGCTTAAAATGTGAGCATTTATCTCACACAATTAAAAAGCCACATCCTGAGTTCATCCACTCATCTGAGTGTGGTGTGCAGTGTTTTCACATCACAGAAATTGTTTTAATGCAAGGTTTTATTGCTAATTATTTGCAGAGAAGACTTGTGGAATTAGTGGTGGTTTGTAGAGCAATCTTCCCCTGGCACCCACAACTTTTTTATTGTTTCTCAGCCTGTTTCAAGCACAGATGAAATTCATCGTTTCTGGATGGGTCAGAGGGTGGGGGGAGATGTGAAAAGAAGAGAAAATAGCTTGAAACTACCATTGTGGAGAAAATGAAACCAGATGCATGGAACGGGAAAGATGCTGGTGGGAACAACATTGAAATAAAGCACATTTTTCCCTGGGAGATGACAGCCTTGTGCAATCCCTCAAGGCTTCCTTCCCACAGACATCTCTCCCCTGCGGAAAAGATTCTCAGGAGGAGGCACAACCTAACCTCTGGGAAGAGGCGTCAACAGGGAATGTGTCACCATCGCCAGTGAAATATTTCACGTCAAACCTGCATTGTCCTGTGTTCCCCCACACACACCTGATTTTTCAGGGAGGAAAAGGGGGGGTAAAACACCCCACTGGCCCCTCAACAAGAACTGAGGAGAGAAGCACCCTCAAACTGGAAAACAGAAAAGAAAAGATTTTGTCTAATCCTATTTATTTGGAGAGGCTTGGCCAGTGCTTTCCAGCAGGGTGATTCCAGTCTGCTCTGAACTGACACAGTGACATGATGACTGGGCTTTGAAGATAGAGTAGCAGTGTTTATGTGGAGAGCAGTCGTGGTGGAGAGGGAAAGGAGGGGGGCAGGAGGCGTTGGGAGGGAAATCGGGAAACTGTAACTCATTGTGGATGGGCTGGCCTGGCCTGGGTGGCAAGCTCTTAAAGCTCAGAACATTCATCAACCTGCCTAGCGGGCCGACATGCTGGAGCCACAAGTTGCTCTCTCCCTCTCCGACTGTGTCAAGCGTGATCTAGTCCAACTGTGCGGAGACAGCGCAGCCCCGGCCAGACAAGCCCTGGTCAGTGCAAATAATCACAGCTCTGACTCCTTTCTCTGTTACTCAGCAAAGCCTGGCCACCGAACACAGCGTTCTCACAGGAAGTTTACGTCAATTCTCTTCCACACATACACACACTCACACGCACAGAGTCCGATTCATCTCAAACTCCATTTGAATCGCTCAAGTTACACCCAGGGCTCCATTTGGCCTTCTGCCTCCACTTTTAGACATTCTTCACCAATTAAAGCCTCATTTCTTTCAAAGCTTATATCCCTAGCGCAAGTCTCCTAATGTCTATAGCATGGCTTCTGGCTTATCACCAAGGGTACTTTTGCCATCCTTTTCGCAGGGCTAAGGAACTGCAGCAGCCTTATACTAACCTCAAGGAGAGCAGTTCCCCCCCCCCATATCTACCACTCGTTTCTTAGCAATTACAGTAGGTTATAAATATGCAAAAGTAACAGACACAACTCCCCACCCACCCACAAAAAAACAGTAATGTTGAGAGCCATGCAGGAATCCAATATCTCTGCTGGAATTTTATTCTAAGAAGTCCAGTCTCGCTGTGTAATGTGAACAGATTTACATATTTGGAGATCTGTCACATTCTATTCTGGAAGCTCATGACAGGAAGCAGCAATATGACGTTTTGGGTTTTGTTTCAGATCACTGGGGCTTACTTTCAGGTACATGTGTATAGGACTGGTAACTAACACATTATTATTTCAAAGTAAAATGTGTCTGCAAATGACAGGCAGAATGTGACAAGGACAAGAAGTCTTAAAATAAAGTTAATTGGTCCATATTGCAGAGGAGAATCAGACAACTTTTTCCCAATTACTGCCATGTTCTGTAACCCGCGGAGAACCTATGGCCCTCCAAGATGTCAACATCCAACTTCTGTTAACCTCAGAAAATGTGGCCAATGGTCAGAGATGATGGGAGATATAGTCCAGCAACATCTGGCGTTAGGTGGCGCTGTGGGTTAAACCACATAGCCTAGGGCTTGCCGATCAGAAGGTTGGCAGTTCGAATCCCTGCGATGGGGTGAGCTCCCGTTGCTTGGTCCCTGCTCCTGCCAACCTAGCAGTTTGAAAACACATCAAAAGTGCAAGTAGATAAATAGGTACCGCTCCAGTGGGAAGGTAAACGGCATTTCCGTGCACAGCTCTGGTTCTCCAAAAGCGGCTTAGTCATGCTGGCCACATGACCCAGAAGCTCTACGCCGGCTCCCTCGGCCCATAGAGCGAGATGAGCGCCACAACCCCAGAGTCATCCGTGACTGGACCTAATGGTCAGGGGTCCCTTTACCTTTAACATCTGGCATCCCACTCCTGCTGTAAACAGGCACAAGTTAGCACATATAATAATAACCCATATATTCTAACTTCTTGAATAATTGGGGGTGGTCAAATTAGCCAGCTTTAATTTATCCATCTCAGCCTTAAAATAAAATCCCTTATTAATGGGATTTTCAAGGTGGTACATATAGTGTAACCATTTGCACTGTGATGGTTACTTATAATCCCACCATACAGTGAATGCAACCACATGGACAACCAGAACTCGGGGGCATCTGGCCACACAGTGAGACAAATGTTATCAAAGTTCAGCAACATGCCATGAATGTGCATGAAGCTACTGGGGGTCTCTGATCAGCTACTATGGCCCAAAGGGAATTAAGCTTGCAGCAAACATGGATGCTTGTCAAATGTATGGTCAATATATAAATGTCCATTTAACTGACTATTAAAACACCTAATAAATAACAACACAGAGATATTGGAGTGTTTTCTTTAGCATATTGCTTATCCTCTTATCAGTACTTCTAGCAAAGGTGCCCAGGACACACTGGGGAGCAGCAAAGTGGGGAATTGAGGGCTGCTGAATCAGAGTATACATACAACAAAAGCCATGCTAGCAACTGATGTTTTGCCACTGATACCCAACAGGCATTCTAACTTGTATGAATTGATTTGGCATTAGTGAAAAGTGCAGGTGCTAAACAACTCTGGCATTTAGGAGCAAAGAACTTACTTGTCTTAACATGGAAAATTTACATCATTCTAGAGATGGTAAAATATCTCAGGGCAATTAGGTCATGGCATTACTATACATGGAACTACAACGTCTATCAGCCCCAGCAAGCATCGTCAAAGGCCAGAGGTGATGGAACCTGTAGTTCAGCAACTTCTGAAGAGCCACACCTGCTTTTGAAGTGGGCATCTAAAAGCTGCATTTAAGACCTGACATCCTATCAGTTTTGTTATGGGGTCCTGGAAGTGCTTTAAGGGTCACATTAATTGGTGAAGTCCTATTCATTTAAAAATTGTACTGTCGTGTGTTATGTCAGTTCACAGAACGGTCAGTCCCAGGGCAATGTTCTGCCATAGAGACAGCATGATGGCACTTTGAGGCTGCACAACAGATTATGCCCAAGCAACATGAATTTTAGTTTTCAGAAAGAAGTGCCCACGCTGCATGGCAAGATGATTAAAAAATAAATAAAATTATCCAGCCACAATCCAGGAGCCATGTTTAGGCCCAGAAAAATCAACAGGCTTAATTGCATCCAGCTTTACACGAGATGCTAACTTCTGACTTTTCCCATTAGCTTTCAGTGCTATATAGAAGGATTACTGTACATTAAAAAAAAAAAAAAACCCTGTCTGAGTGCCCCAATCTACTGCAGCTGGTATTGCAACCTTTGGCATGTCATCAGGTTTGTGAATGGTAACCCAAAAGGTATGACTGTGTCATTAAATAAATAGGTGTGTAGTGTGTTTGGGTTATTCTTTTGTGTTTTAATTTATTTGTATTGCAGTGAGAAATTCTTTGAAGGCACAAAAAAGGGCTGTATTTTGCTTCGCCAGTAGTTTGCCCATGAGTAAAAAGGAGTGTTCTTAAGGCCAGTGTTTGCGTGTACTTATTTGTATGTGTATGAATTTGCAAAATCAAAGCCTGGTCTTACAATGCAGCCTGTTGTCTTCAGGTTAGGCTTGTTA